AGGGAAGGGAAGAGGAAGGGAAGGAAAGACGTCACATCTTAGTGCCTGTTAAGTGCTAGCAAACTATTTGAAAATAAATAACTTCAGTTTTTAAGCAGCAGTGCACCAGAAGCAAGGGAAGATGCTAAAGCCAAGTCAGGTTGTACTCAAGAGATGACATACATAGTCTGTCAAATGTGAGTCTCTGCATTTGGATGACAGATCTACTTACTGTAGTGTCTGCTGATCCTTTGACAAGGCAGTTCAATACTTGAGCTGTCTGATCAATAATTTTTTTGCTCTTCAGGGCAAAATCCAAGCTGAAATTTAACTGAAATAGGAGAAGGCTGAAGTTTGTCTGCAACGTGAGCATCCTATCAGGATGTGCTTTTGGGTATAACAAAAATTGACTGCAGATAAGTTAAGGCCTAAACTACTGAAAAACTGCAGTCTGCACATCCTCTGTAAAAAATAAAGAAAAATTTCTCTAAATTCATCAGAATTTTTGTTGATGTTGAGCATGCTTTAATTTGGACAGGACTTCCATCGCAACTCATGATCTTGATTGGGGCATGTGGACTTCAGGACTAGCAACTTGGTTATGACAAGATACCACCCAATAAATACAAGTTTCTGTAGGCAGGTTAAGATGGCTTTTGCAGTGAAAAAGTGTTAATATACTGCTGAAAATATTAATTGTGATAATCATTTAGCTGTCATGTGGAGTGTTAAACTTCATCACTTAAATAATAACAATGAATCAAACAAGAACTTTCACTTAAAAGTAAAACCCTCAACCTAAGTATATACCATTGTCTTGACAACTTTGAAACAGAAACTAAACCGCTTTCCTTTTATTGTTTAATAAAGTTTCTGCTTAAAAGCCAAAGCAATAAATTACTTTCAGTTTTCACAGGACGATTACCAAACTCCCTCACTGAGAAGCAGTGGGAGGAGTAAAGCCAGATCAGACCCCAAGCATGGGGCAGTGCCAGAGCTGAGCTCCAGCGGGGGGGGGGGGGGTGGGTAATACTGAGCTGTCCTTTCCAAGCGGCAGCATATCAGAAGTTTCCCTTGCCCAATGGTGATGGGAGGGAAGTTGTCAAAGGCAGGTGAGAGTAACTGCAGACAGAAACAAAGCTAATTTTAAAACTTTCAGATGGTTTATAACTCCTGTTTCGGTGACTGAACTTTCAAGCGATGTTGGTTGCCTGAGGCCAGGTTGCAAAGGACTCGGCTGAAAGTAAGCTGAAAGTTACTAATGGCTTAAGGGTGAAAATATGCAATGAATTGCATAGAAAAACAGTCACCGTGTTATAAAATGGCTTGTATCAGCTGTAATCAAGTGTATGGAAAAAACTGTGTAAGTTTTTATCAGGAGTTGATACTGGAGGCAGTAAGGTGGCAAATACAGAGGTATGATGACAAGAAAGCCAAACCATTAGGGAGCAACATAATAATGGAGTTTGAGTACAAATAAAGAGAGAGAAAAAGTATTGGAAAGAAGTAAGGTGAAATAAATTGATGTTACAGTCATAGCATCTGGCTGTCTGCGAGACAGGCTGTGTCTGCTTGGACTAGACCTTCCATGAAATTTTTACTGCAACATGTTACTGATTTAGAGGACCACCATGAGCCTCAAAGTGGTTAAAAGAATATGAAGGATCTTTGACCAAAAAAAATAGTTCCTGATAAGATATGACAGAGAAGTTAACTTATCTGGAAAGGTATACTGGAAGTTGTTCATGTTGTCTCTGAACTGTGAGTGGTGGTGAAGCAGAGCTTGAAAGCAGAGGGATCCTGGTAGTTAATCAATGTGTTTGTCACAAAGCGAGGGACCTAATCAGTCAAGTGACTGTGGCCCTCAGCGCTCCCCACGTCAACAGCTGCTTGTGTAGTTGGTTGGATTTCCAGCAAAAGACCCTGTACCCTTCCAGATAGGGCAGGTGTCTCCAGTGGAAATGTCTCCCGTAGACATGGGTGGGTTAAAATAGAAAACTACCTATGAAGCAGGAGAAAGCTGATGGATAGTGGCCACTGAGGGAAACTCTTGGCTTTCTCTCATGACCACCTGCTTTTCTAGCAGAAAAGATTCTTTATCTGCAATTGCTCTCAAAGGGAAGTTTAGAAAGAGGTTAATATTTCCAAACATCTGCTTAAAACTGAAGGAGAGGAAGAGGGTTAGTCTGAGCATTTGATTTGGTCATCTGTTTCTGGCCATTTAGCCAAAGGACCTGAACTGCTTAGCAGCAGCTCTGCAACCTGCTCACTTGCTTTTGTGGTTTTTGTCATTTCTCACTTCCATAGACTTGCATGGGGGTGGCAATTAATTATGGCACACTGACACATGAAAACCAAGCTGTTATTTGAATATATTTGAATATATATTCGATATATTTGAATATATTTTGATATATACGAATATATTATCTTGTATCACAGTACAAGTATTCTGCTTTTTATATTTTAGTCTTTATTGGTACAGCTATAGTCTGAGTCTGAAACCTTTTGTCATCACTATTTATGTCTGTAAAGAAAACTTATTAACGTATAGCACCATATGTTTACTGAAACTGAGTAAAATATTAGAGTTCTGTAAATTGAGAAAAAAATATTTTTTTTCTTCTTCTGGTAAAATCATGGATTTATTGGGTTAAAAAGAAAAAATCATACCAATAAATACTGTGTTCAGTCTGGCATTGGAGAATAGGGAAGGGGGGAGGCTGCCCCTTTCTCCTGCTCTCGGTGCTTCCTCCGCTAAGGGTTGTGCAGAGCAAGGAGGAAACTGCTGGGTGCTGCCTGGTACGTCTGTGCACCAGCACCCCACCACGCACAGCGGGCGTAGCTGCTCTTGCCCTGCACCACCCTCTGCACCGGATAAGGTGGAAATCCTGGGGAGGGAGGAAAAGATATGTGATCATGCAGTGGAAGGCCACATGGTGATGGAGGGAGTGGAATTCAAGTCTTATACACACGTTAGTTTGGCATTATATAATTTCTAGGGGCTGGATATTGAAACCTGGCTGTTTTCAGTCTTTTTTTTTTTTTTTTTGCTTCAGTGCATCACTTCTAAATCAATTTTAATGAAAATTGAAGGCAACTCAGCATGTGTTAAGATCTTCAGACCCTCAGAAAAGGGCTTACTATAAATCGACATTAAAAAAAAATAATAATTACATCAGAATTAAATTTATATTGTTTATATGTCTTCTCCTAATTCTGCATGATCACTTGCTGACTATTTTGTCTTCCGTGCAGATTTTCCTGGTAATGTGTCATCTGTTTGTGTGTGAAGAAGTGTAAAATGACTGATTCTTCCTACTTTTCACACTGTAAAGTAGCAATTCTAGTTTTGTTCTTGAAGGAACTGCTAAAAGTCCTTCCATTTACACATGAGAATGAGACAATTAAATCATAGGTCCTAAGTATTTATGCATTAGGGATGACACCTACTTCACAGAACAAACCAAAGTTACCTTGGCAAGATTGCCTTTCCTGTGAACTTAAAATAGTTCACAGCATTTTTATACCTCCCAAGGTTTGAAAGCTATAAACAGGGAGATTTGTGGGGAGAGTAATATTTTTAAATTTATCTATATACATAAATATATACACATTACATAATTTTACATCTTTTTTGATGATAAAAAGGAGGAGGAGTAAGCTGGAAGAGTTTACATAGGGATTTCAGTTTATTGGTGCTGTTACTATCGAGGGTGACACATCCTGGATTTCTCCAGCGTAAAGATCAGCCATAATTTACAAGTATCTAAAAATCCAGTTTGCAAGTCCAAGCAGGCTTCTGGATTTGCCTGAGGTGGTGTGTGGGGGGTGGAAGTACCAATGCTCAAGGCAGGACAAGCAGCCGTTTTGTTGGGATGCATTTTGCTTGGCTGTTTGGGTTGAGTTGGAGGGGTTGCTGCCCTAGTGCATCTCCTGGACTTCTTGCAAGTTAGCAGTTGAAGCTCCTGATGTTAAAAGCATAGATGTCTAGAAATAGCTATTTAGCAGATGCTTCTGATAGGCTTTGTCTCTTCCACGCATGTTTGCAGGGACAGGAGGGCTGAAGGAGCTTGGTTGTTATATAGCAGAATGAGAGGCTGGTGGCAGCCTGTGAGGTAGGTCAGCTCCAGTGATAATGAGGAAGCCTAGCTGGCCAGGGAATGGTATTTCAGAGGAAAATTAAGATCCTGGGCTCTGTTTTTCTTTCTGGGAAGGCAGAGTGGCTTGGTTCTGTTAGTTTTCCACTGCAACCCTGCAATAGTTGGCTTTATAAACACCAACACATTGTATTCCAGGGAGGTAGCGTATTTGTTAAGATACCTATTTGCTTGGAAGGTTTTTGCTTATGGGGAGCAGCAGGCCTGAAGATCTAGGAAGTGCTGGCAGCCAAGGAAACAACCTGACACTGCTTCTGTGTGTGTCTGTGCTCCTCACCACTGGGCATCAGTGGTGGAGCTGGACGGGCTCCTTGCGGGGATCCTGCCAGCATCATTTGCTCCCCTTTGCCTTCTGGCAGCTGAGTTGCATCATAGCAAACTACTTTTATGCTTATCAAGAAACCCTCTTTACAATCACAACTGTTAAGAAACACAGTAAGTGGCTATTGGAAGCACTTTAATATCTTGGTTCCCATTTATATGGATAAATTCTTCCTTTTTTCCTGCAATTTTAGGAGGAGGTCAGATAGGATTTCTTCTGCATAGTTATACAGTACAGATGCATGTACATTAAATATATGTTGTATGTACCATGGTTTCTGATACTCTAAATACCTTTTTGATGTAGCATTAAGAAGTAACTGATTGCTGTATCAAATGGACAATTCGCTTATTTTCCTGGATAGTCTTCCATACTGTTGAGAAATTAATGGCAGTTTCAGAATTTATGAAGGGCAAAGAAATGGTATTCTCTGATTCAGAGAACTAATTAGGAGAAAATGCCTGTGGGTATTGGGTTCCCCCCCCCCTACATTTTAGGAGAATTAGACGAAAATTTTGTAATTGCTTTTAATTTTACAGGCAGCCAGCATCAAGCGTGAAATGACCTTCCCTGCATTTCAACAGGACGATGTAAAAAGTGACATCAGTCAAAAACTGCCAGACCAACAGTTTCTCCTGTTCACCACAAAGGAGGAAGATTTAAAAACAGCAGAGACCAAAAAACCAAACAGAGCTCATGAGTATGAAAAGGAAAACACTCGTTCTGTTTGTCTTCTGGAACAGAAGCGCAAGGTTGTTTCTTCAAATATTGATGTGCCTCCAGCAAGGTAAGGGAAGTTGAGGTTTTTTGCTGTGTTCTGTTTTAAGCTTTTTTTTTTTTTTTTTTTTCTCTTTTCTTTCAAACAGGATATTAGAGGCAAATCTGGTAAGCAGTACAATGAACTCATAAGACTAGTATTTGTGTCCAAGCAGTCCAAAGTCAATCACAGCTCCACTACTTGGGAGATCATCTAGAAAATTGAAACCACTAGCAGCAGAAACTGATACCATCTGCAGTGTAGGGCTTTGTATTGCTTTTGCAGTTTTTTTGCTTTTGTAACGTGCTGAAACTGAGGTACTCCCAGAAGAGGAGGTGTCTTAACAGGAAGAGATTGTTGACCCAGCTTCACCCCAAGAAGTAGTCTTCTAAATTAGACACAGAATCATTTTACCTGCTAGCATTTTTTTTTTTACTGCCATACCTGCAGTTACTTTATACTCAGGGGAGTGTGCAATGACTTATGCTGCTTAGTGAGGATGTAGTATCTTATGCTCTATTATATCGCTGTATAGGCATACAGCTGGGTCATAATGTGGTCTATGGCATAAATTAATAGAAAAAAGTAGTGAGGAAAAGCCAATACAGGAAAATCAAATTTGTACAAAATGAGGATTTGAGGATTCTGGTATTGCTTTTTAATTTGTTATTCCTTGAAGATCTGTTGTGAATGCACATAAATATTTGTGTCTTCATCATTTGTATCTGGGCAGTTACACTTCTAATTATAAACAATTTATAGGGAATTATTTTGAAAAAAAAAAAATGTTCTTTAATCTGAGACTTGGTGTATATTGCAGCAAAAAATTCAGGGTTTATTTGCCTTTTTTTTTTTTTTTTTTTTTTCTTCCTGATATTTAAGTGGAATAATAGTAAGAGAAGGAGAAACTGAGAATTTCACATTGGGTAGTGATTTAAAGAGAAGGCGCTCAAAAATACAGAGCCTAGGACCTTGAACTTTGGGGAAGGACTTCACTGGTTTGAGAAATGGAATGACTCCTCTAGGAAATGTTGAATATTAGTATAAAAGAAACTTATCCAGTAATGATAAACAGACTCACTTGTATCATTGGTGAAAAACTGACAACAAATTGGGTATTCTGTGTTGCAAGGTGACAAGTACTTTTTCTTTTTTGTTGTTTGTGATTTCATGTTGTCAGCAGTCTGTCTGCAAAGATTTTTTTCTTAACCTGCCTGATAAATTCACTTGCACATAATATTCAGTGAAACCCCTTACGAGTTTATAGTGTCCCTTAAAATATATCTAGACAAGCTGGCTATTTTGATGGTTTTTTGTTTGGTTGCTTTCTAAAACCCAACATAAACTAGCAGGTTCTGCCACATCATCCAGAACAAGGATGACCGTTGTTTTCCTCTGTCTCTCATTGATGACACATATGAAAACTGTAGGGTTCACAAGTATTTTGACAGGATTTTATTCTCCCCGTGTATATCTAGTGAAAATCTGTGCATTAAAAGCTTGAAAATGTTAGGATACTTATTTGAGATTTTCACAAGTAATCAACTCTGGAATGGCTGAGTGCCCTTCTCATTCATGTTTATGTGTCTCAAAGCAAATAGGATCATCAGAAAATTCAGGTCAGTAGGGACTTCAGGAAGTCACCTAGTCCAGCCTCCTGCTCAAACCATATGTTAGCATTTCCATTTTACAGTTTAGGCAGCCAAGGTACAGGATTTAAGTGCCTTTTTGTGTGGCTTCATGCAGATAATCCACCTGAAGAAGTCTTCTTTTCTGTAACTGCTAGTTCCCTCCTTGGAGGGATGGACATTTTTTTCCCAACAAGGTGGGAAAGAGAATGAATGAACATCTTTAATGCCTCTTAAGACTAATTGTAGCACCAGTTGTGAGCACAATATACTTAAGATGACAGGAAATATGTTCATTTGCAAAGATGTCTTCTAAAATTGTTCATTGTTCCTGTATTTTGTTGTGAACAGATAAATGATCATATTCTGTTGTTGCAAGTTTTCAGACATGCCAGTTGAGCTGCTGAGTTAGCAGAATTAGAGAATTAAGTAGAAAGCAAACCTAAAGTCTAAATTTGATAGTACGATAAACATCTCAGTTGCTCTAGCTACAGTTTTGAAGACAAGTTTAAGTTTCCTTTTTAATCTGAGGTGATTTATTGGGCCATTTGTCCACACAGGACAGGAAGAGTGCTAAAACCTTTGATTGGAGAACTTACTGAATATTTGTTGTTGTAATGAGGGGAATGCCCAGTTTCTCTTCCTCTTCAGCACAGTTTGATCTCTTAAGTCATATTCTCTGACAAGTGCAAGTCCAGGCATTTGATGTTCTGCCTCTTTACAAGCTCCTTCCAGTCTTCTGTCTAGGACTGCAGTGAGGGAGATGCATGTTCCCCAGAGGTGAATTCCTCCTCTGTTCTCCTCTTGGCAGGATTTGTTGGGTCAACTGTCCTCTCCTCTGATGAGAACATCCATCCGCCTTTGCAGCTCACTGATTGCCTTCACAGATTATTTGTCATATTCAGCTGTGTAAAGTCATCTTGAATTAATCAGATGATGTTTACAAAAGCATGGGAGAAATTAGTTTAATATGATCTTCAGTTTCTTATTGCTACGTACACTCTCTTTGAAAAAAACTTTCAGCTATTGCTTTGAAGTAGAAAAATGCTATGGAAATGAAGCTTGCTATGTATTTTGTTTTAAAACCTTAGTGGAGCTGAGAAGGTTACCCATTTTACTTCAGATGCCAAGATAAAGGCTAATGTTAAATTTTGCAGTATCCTACTAAACCCAGGACAGTATGTAAGTGATTTTGAGACAGAAGTTTATCATACTGCAGAATCCTTATTAACAAGGGCATATGAGTATCTGCAAAAGAGCTGGTAACATGGATAAGTATACTTCACTTTGAGTACATTATGAAACAAAGTCCATCCCATCTTATCAGTTTTTTAAGGATCTCAATGAATAAGAATTAAAATCTTTGTGAGGCACTGTATCCAAAATAACTAACAGTTCAGAAAACACTGGCATAATAATTCTTGCTTCTGAGGCATTCAGCCACAGGGCTTTTGTTATTGCTTATAGACTCTGAAATTTTAGAAATGTGAAAATATCTTAATTGAGTCCCTGGTGTTTTGGGTGATTGGTACTCAGGTGCACTGAAATTGAAGGAGATGGAACTGTAGAGCAGGGACAAGCTGGTGGCTGTCACGTGCAGGAAAGTGGGAAACTAATGGAAATCATGGACACTTCAGAATTTTGTTCGTTAATGAAATCTGGAAAGAAGGGGTAGATCTAATTAATTAATAGCCCAACAGTAATGCACTTGCCTGGAGCACGGAAGGTGTGGGTTCAGGTTCTTTTGTTGTTGTATTTGGAGCAGGGACCTGAACTGGGATCTCTGGTGTACAAGGGAGGTTTCTTAACCATCAAAGTCCTGGTATATTCAAGGTGCTTCATAGGGCAACTCTTTAAAGTAATAGTGTCAGACCTGAAACAAATGTTTCACTGCATTCAGGAGAATTTTGATATTGAAATTAAAATATATTTTAAAGTCCATAGCTTACATTTTCTATTTCATCTTGCAAAAGTACTGCAGACCTTTCTCTCTATGTTATGTGCTGTACTGGAAATGTCTTTTGGATTAAAATAGAAGGAGACCATGACTTGCTGAGTTTTATGTTTTGGAATGAAAAAATGAAATGAGAGGTTAACAGCATTAAGTCTGTCCCTTTTCAGATTTCTTCATTTAGTCATTTTGAACAAAATTTATATGAGTTAAATAGCTTTCCTGCTTCTGGAACTCAGATGAGCATAAATGAAACTGTTCAGTTTGAGTAGATAAATTATTTAATATAATAAGGAAATTTGAATGCCTTACTTTCCCTTTGAAGTTTAAATTTATTGGTAGTTTTGGTGCATAAAGGAGTGCTGTTTTGGAGAAAGGATTCTGACCGCTTGACTATAAACTGCCGTTATCTCTGAGAATTGAGATGTTATCTGTACAACAAAGGAAAATACGCTTTAGACTGACCCTCCAGTTCAAACATGAGTGATCAAACACTTCCCAGATCCCTAGCATCTGCATAGTGAAAGGTGATTTTGTAAAAAGAGAGTGGTGTCACTGAGGGACTAACAGCCTTGTCTTGTGGGCAGAAGCAAGCACAGGTCTACAAGTGTTTCGGGCATCTACATCTGCGGAGGTCAGATGTAATCAAAGATGATGTCCCCAGTAGGCAGTGGCATGGAATTGAACAGCATTTTTGCTCATCTGTATTTTCATCAGTTACTTACCACAGTACACACTTACTCCCAAAGCTAAGTCAACAAGAAAGACGAGAAAAAGCCTGGGTTGCTGATACAGTGGGTGTGAGGGTGTGAGTCATGATATAGGGACCCGGTGCAGGTCAGGCACACGAGGAATGGCTTCTGCCTCTTGGAGGATGAGGATGGAAGGGTGGGTGATGGAGCACAAGGGGTGAAGTTTCCTTTTTTTTGAGTAAAATGTGAGAATAAATGTCTGGAAATGGTGATGGGGTTAAAAGTCCTTTTAGACAGAAGTGTTTTGACCAGCTGTAGCTAGAAACTCTTCAAAATTTACATGCATTAGTGTCAGAAGTGGTGTCCTCTCTGGTGTCTCAGAAAGGAGTAACTGGAAATATCCAAAAGATTAAGAGAATTAAAGAAGGAACTAGGCAGGCATTGCTTCTACCCCTTTGATTGGTGGGACTGTTTGTATAATTTTGCTTTTGTTAACGTTTTGTTAGATGACCTTCAAATATTGTGAAATTGTATTATCCCTGTGCCACATCATTCTCCTTTCCCCCAGTCCTCCTGTACCCTATCTTCTCTGAAAAAAAGGAAGAGGTATAAACTTTATAACTGCCTAACCTTTTCTGTGTTAAGTGTATGGTCTGAAAGGACAAGCCAAAGCTAAATCTCAGCTGCTTAAGCACTTCCTATAGTATGAAAATAGCTATTGTGCAATAATACCTCCTAGTTCCTGTGTTCTTCTGGTTC